ACTGACCTATGATTGATTTAAGAATAATTTCACCAATCTTGCCATAACCCTGCAAGCTGTGGTAAATAAGCACTCAGCTCAGAGGGCCTTGAAATTAAATAAATTATGCAACTTCTTGATGATTGTGCCTAGAAAACTGGTCAATTATGTAGCTACTTTCCCTTCCAATCCCTTGGAGGATAAGAAAACCTATCAGAAATCCTTGACAAGAGATTAAATGCTGGTCTATGAGAGATCTCAGATTAATTTCACCAATTTTGCCATAACACTGCAAGATGCACTACACAAGCACCTAGCTTAGGGAACCCTGAACTGAGAGCAACTCCTGGATAATCACCTCCAGACAACTGGTTAATTATGCAGACACTTCATCCTCCCATCACTTTTCTCAGGCACTAAATAGCATTAGTCAAGAACACTTATGCATATACATTTAGTTAGTAATTTTTTAATGTAAAAAAAGCTGTTCTTTTTCCAGAGACAACAACTGGAAAGGTTCAATACGAAAAAGAATGCAAAATAGAGTAATTCACAAAACAAATTCTTCTCAATGAATTAATATATGAAAACTCAAAATGCCCCCAAATATGCCCAAAATAATAATAGTACAAAGATGTTACAATGTGAATAACAGATCATACTGTTTTCCTATTCATCCTATGTATACAAATCCAGCCATTGAACAATGTCAGAAATACAGTTTAGGATTTATTTCTTTATGTTATTTTTCCTTCTTCTTTATTCTGCAAGGTTATAATTAGCAAAATTCTTAATTTTGGAAAAAAAAAATAACCTATGTATTTAAAAAAGCCAGCACACACAATTCAACAAAGGATGCTTCTTAGGCTTACACCTGTTTTTCTTTCTCTAACATGATTAGGACACTTCATTACATGATCACCAGAACAATTTCAATGAATTATCAGTGAATCTGACTTTCTCCAGACCTGTGCTAGGCAGGTAAGTCGATTTGTCCACACCTTATATAAGGAAATTGGACTATAATAAAGTACATAATTTGTCTAAAACCTAAGAAAACACAAACAAACAAAACAAAAACCAAAACAACAAACAAAAAAAGCTCCCCCCCCCCAGAAAAACCACCAAAAAAACCCCAAAAAGCTAGTCAGATATCTACAGATTCCTCCAGGAGACAAGGAAGGAAAACTTTTATTCTGTGGTTGAAGATACAGAACATTTCTATTACACACAGAAGGACAAACTGTTTAAAGTGCAAACAGGAAAATCTGAATTCTGCTCTCATTTCCGCACCACATCCTGCTAGACCTAAGTGGATATTTATATTTTAATCAATCTTTAATGCTACCATTGATACCTCACAATCCATATCCTAATTATTACAATTGGGATCAGTAAAGTCACAAGCAAGAACATAGTTCCTAACATATTTCACATGCAAAAATCCATCCTTCTTACACAGTGACCCACAGCTGCTGTTTAAAGCACTGAACCTAGCTCAGAACTAAGGTTACCTTTTAAGAGGATGGAGGAGATGGAAATGCAGCTCTTTTCTGCACACACACAGCCTGGCTACTAAAGCTACCAATGTTGTCATCACCAAGTGGAGCTAAGTTTGGTTATCCCTGGCTGTAAGTCCCACATCTAGCATGGCAATATACAGCAGGATGGGTTTGAAGCATGAGCTAAGTTGCAGAGAAAGTTTTCTCATTTTCAAGTATAGCAGACATAAAACTGTGTCTGGAAAAACTTTTCTACCTGGAACTGATCTATGGTGATTTTAACAAATTTCTCTTTTCCCCAGTAATTTCTTACTATTCAGATCTGCTTTACACAATATTACTGCTGAAAACAGGGGTGAAGTGGTAACAAGAGCAAATCTGGATTCTTCAACCAAGGGTTCATTATGGGGGCAAAAGAAATGATGAGGATGTTTCAGGTGGTTGCAAGATATATGTCTTTTTTTAAAATTTTAAAGCAGAAAACATTGCTGGCCCTTCTGTTAGAAGGGTGGCTTTTAATCAAGTTCTTCTCTGATGCATCACTGCTAAAGCAGTCTTTCCTGCTTCCTATACTATCTGCCATACGCTGTTCACTGTATGAAGGAAAGTTAGCAAGGAGTTTAGGACTATAAAATAAATAGTAGTAAATAAATAAAAGAAGGAAAGAAAGATGGGGTTAGAATCCATTTTCTTTAAATTGTTCTGTGGGTCATGAAAGACCATCTATCTGTGCTATGTACAATAGGAGTGCCTAACAAAGCACACAGAACAATAAAAAACCTGCCTGTAGCCACTGGTACCCATGTGGTTGGGTTTGATATTATTTGTATTACTTCTGTCAACAATAGCAAAGAATGTTTAGTCTTTCTAAAAGGATTAGGAAGGTGAGTGTGGTTTGCAGCTCTATGAGAGCCTGTTAAGTCTAGACACTCTGACAGACACTTCCAGTTACACCCAGATGACAGCTTTAAGATTCCACCAAGAATAGGAGTGGAAGGCTTCATTTCTAAAGCAGTCAGTGGCTAATGCCACATTTCCAAAAGGGGAAAAAGATTCATTTTTTCTGAGAAATACACAAATACTGCAGTGGTGGACATGCCATAGAAACATGAATTACACTGAACAGAAAAAGACAATGTATTACTTAGGTAAAAGTATCTGCTTTCATGTGCTACTGCTGGGCATTATTTGGGGGAATCTGTGCACAGCTCATTAGCACGTGACTTAGACATCATTAAATAAACAATAAAACAACAGTCTCTATCCAAAAGAAAGGGGATATATAAAAATGATAAAAATTGCAGTTTAGACTTTTTAGCTCTGTTCTTTGTGTCAGAGTAACTTCTAGCAGCATCTCTGAAGAAAAAACCTGAATTATAGAGAAGACATTCACCTAATTCTAATGACTTTTGTTGAAAAATAAACACTTCCAGTCTTACTTTGTAAAATGTATTTCCACTTCCTGCTTCCCTTCTAAGTGGACAGTAAAATACCCTAAATCAGAGACATAAGGGTAATTTTTCTCTTAAGGTGTTGCTGAAAAGTGCTGCACGAAATATAGAAATATAGTTCACTCTTACGTAGGCAACTGATCTCATGTATTATTTACAGAGCAAATGAAAACAAGGGCGGAAACTAAAACTGCATTTGCAAATATACTCATATCAGTATCAAATAACTGAAGAACCACCTGGATAAAAACACATGCACTATTCTCAAAGGTACAAACAGCTATCAGAATGCATACTGGCAGGAAGATAGTTCATCTGAGGAATTCTGTAGTGCCTACTGCAGGAGAAAAGCTGAAGGTCCCATGCCCTCTTTAAGGAAAACTCAGGGGTTGGAAGGCATAGATGTAAATCAGCTTGTCAATAAAACACAATAACAGGAATCACAAACATGCTATTCACTAGTCACATTTCAAATTCTAGATGTCTTGGGCAATGGCTGCATATGTATTTTCTAAAGCAAACTATTGTTCTCAACATTAAATTCACAAATCATATCCAACAACAAACCTGTGATGCATAACCCAGCACCTCCTCATAAAAACATCCCCATTTCTGATATGACTAAGCACTAATAATTTTCTTCCAAACACTCTTCCATTTGTTGGAAACAGGCCCCTGGCTAAAGCACAACAGGCATATGCTTTAATAATCTCTGGATTACCTGGAGACAGCCTGGAACACCTAATAAATCTGTCTATTTTTCAGGTGGAGTGGGATTGATTTCCCCGGGGTTTCTTTGTCAATTCCATTTTAGTACTTAGTATGAGGAGAAAATTATCAGAGAAGGTCAAATCTGACATGAAAAACTAGAAGAGTTCACACTGATGAAGACTTTTGCTACATTTAAAATAAATGTCCACTTGCTTTTTCTTAGGCCCTATCTTCCGTCAATCTTTATTTAATAATGTATATGCTTCATAGCTTGCAAAAAGTGCAATCACAGCTTGGCAACATGCTCAAATAGCCTGAAGTTTCAACACTGGAATAGTAATCAAGTGAAAAATGGGGTGGTTTTTTCCTACCACTTTGTTATCAGCAAATAGTCAAAGGCATTTACCAAAACCATGACTTCTTACTGCAGCAAACTAGTTGAAATGACAGATCTAAGTAAAAGTTGGAGACATTCCGATAATTTCAATCATCAGTTGTTTAACCAAGCCAATTTATTCAATACGTTTTCTATTCTGTATCTGTTCTATTTTCATGTCAATCTTCAACAGTATAAACAAATGCTATATTGAATTACAGAGAAGTTTAACACTTCTGGTAAGAAACATCATAAAAATGTCTTGTTCTAAGCCTCTTTGTTCTATAATTTAAGATCCAAACTTGATAGAAACTTGCACCAGATTTCTCCTCTTACTCTGGCAAAGAGGATTTAAAATAGTTTTTGAAGAATATTAAAAAGTATAGACAAAAGAACATTAAATTCTACAAAGGCAAGAAAATAGCACTAAAGATACTGCAAACAGTTAATGGATATAGCCAGGTTATTGAGATGTCAATAATTAAATTTAATATGAATTAATGTAATTATACAGATTAACTTTTGTTTCCCTGCAGTGAGCATTTGCCTCAAAGTTTAAACTGCTCTTTAAAGTTTTAATGCAAATCTTTCAAATCTTTTCAATATATTTCTGCACAGCTAAAATGCAGAAATCTTCTTACAGTTTTAAGAAACTGCATTTTCCGTATTTCTCTATAATACTTGGCAACATTGGCAATGCTGTATATGGTGTTGAATGCATCAAGCTTTTATGACAGTGTTTAAAGTTCACCTACTTTCTTCCAAATTATAGGGTCAGATGCTGTCAAATTTTATTATTGCAAATACTGTAAAAGACCAGCTTTGTCAATTTATTTGAATATAGTCATGTGTGAGAATTTCTCACATAAGACTTTTCTTGTTTAATTTGCACTGGACAGTGATACACAAAGCAAAAGAAATCAAGCTCGAGTTCTTTTACACTTTACTTTGAAAGGAAACAGAAAACAAAGTGTATTTTACCTGAGTCTCCACACCTTGCTCAAGCAACCTTTTAGCCTGGTTTTCCACCTCAAGACGAGCTCTTGCAATAAAAAGCAGGTCATTTTCAATTACTTCTATTCCAGACAGATCTATCCCTTGAGAAAGATAATCTATAAAAGCAACAAAACATTGATAAGCATGACACAGGATAATGGAACATTTTAAGCAAGTTAGAACATTTCAAAGTTACAGTCAGTTCCAGGAGACATTTTTGTATACAACACTTGACAATACAGTATATCAAAGTAATGTCTTATACCAGAAAAACTGAAAATCGGATTATCACTTAAGAAAACCTGGATATTGAATACATTGAATTACTTCAAGACACCTCTCTATACCCAGAGACTTCTGAAAAGATGTAAAACATGAGTTCTAGGAACTGCAGAATCAAAATCACAGGCCAGTGATTTTGAAAAAGGGGAAAGAAGTCATATCCTTGCCCCAGAGAATTAACTAGATTATTAAATTTATCTAACCAGATGTTTGAATAAGAATGTGGGATCAAACACAAAAGAATGTTACAAAAATAAAACAACATATTTTTTTCCTTTTTAACCACAGAATCATCACAAAAATTCTTACCATTGTGGAAATCACCATCAGCCATAAGCTACAGATTACTGGGCTGGACTGGCAGCTGCAGCAAAAAAAATCTATTCAAATTCATCTTACCTCAATTATTTTTTTTCTCCTTTTCATCTTTCTGGATTTAAATTAATCCAGCTCTCCCTGACCAGGTAGCCTAGACCTTTACACTACTGCTTATCACCAAGATAATGCAGGACTACTCTCATTTAACCAGTTTTCAACATTTCGCTTAATGAAGCAGGTTTTCCACTGGGTTTTTTTTTTTTGGAAGTTCATATAAAACTAACAAAATAATGGCCAAGGCATTTCATGCAGTATCAGAGTCTTCCTTCATAAGATGGTGTTCCACTATTTCCATTTATAACCAGTCCTCTATGATTTCCTAATAAAGTTATCTTCCTTTTAGTTCTCAAAGTAAGTTTATTAAGGCACAGATTTAAACATTTTAACTAAGCTAACTGAACTTTTAAATCTTTGCCAAACAACCTTTCACTTTAGTAGCCATTTATTTTTGTTTATTCACAATAAACTGATCTAATTCTCAAATTAATTTTAGCAATCACATGTTCACAACTGAACACAAAATTCCAAGTGAATCATTTTACAGCTATGTATAGAACATCCCTACATCTGCACATGAAAAATACCATATAAGAAATCGAAACAAAAAGCTTACTGAAATACTGCATAAAGCTTAGTAAAGGCACAAAGGAAATCGTCTCTCTTAACAGTACAGTATGTCAAATAGGTTTTAGTCTACTAAGAATAGACTTGCAAATGCTTTTCCCTGCATGCATTTGTTTAAAAATGGATCAGAGGGGTCAAAGGTCAGCTAAGTAGCAGGACAGCACAGGCAATTCACGAAGCCCTGTGTGCTGGTGTGTTTACAGAGCTGCTTTTGCCACAGGCCACAGCAGCCACATTTACCCCTTATTTCCCTGCAACTTTTTGCTGTGACTAAGCTGCATCTCTACAGGTGGTCTGGCATATGAACCCATTAAAACTAATACTGAACTCACACAAGTTCCAATGAGCAAGCCTTGAGTGTGAAGACTAATTTTCTGACCCCTTTCCTTTTAGCTGCACAGAAAAAAAAAAGGAGTAAAGCACTACCACAGATTCACTCTGTCACAGTAAACTCTGAAGAAGTTTCTTGGCAAAGTGATTAAAAAAGGTGCAAATATTACCAAATATTTACATATACCACAAATACAAGAACTTCTGTGTAATTCGCTTAAGGCATAAAGTCATAATCTGGAAGCTCAGGCTGCCTAAATAAAACAAAATTAAAATATGGTTATAATCTCCTAAATACACAGAAAACTTCAGGAAAATTACTAAAAAAGATACTGTTTCTTCCTGCTGTGTTTTATCTCAAAATCTAAAGTCACTTCAAGAGCTAAAAATCTATTCCTTCTGATGGTTTTAAGAAAAGAACAGAAAGACCATGCTGCTTTGGCTTCTCCAAATGCCTCCATCTGTGTCTCCGACTGGCAGCCACCTCCTGCCAATCTGTTAAAATCTGCAGCTTTGCTCCAAATTTTCTGCAATCCTAACAGAATGTCTTGGGACAATGCATTTCAGCAGGACTTAGTGGGCCTTTCTGCAGGTTCAGTGGCTAGCTGTACCACTATAGATGTCCCCAGTTGCTATTCTAATAGTAAGGAAGCTCTAGCAATTACACAGTTTTTGAAAGAAAAGCAGTTTTCATAAGGAAAACAGGTCTATCTAAACACCTGCAAGTGATTTTCTGCCATTCTTATGTGAGAGCAGAAGCTGTAACACAGGCTGGGTATGTGCCTTTTGATAGTTTTTGTCATCTACACAGACAACATAATATTAGAAATCTCCATGATTGTTTACTCTCAAGAGCGATGTTGTTCCCCTGGACAGCACGATGAAACCAAGCAGGACAGCTGACATAAGAGCAGCCAGATCATACCGAAAATACCTGTGCATTTAAGATCTGATTTATTTAAAATGTTGCAGAACTTGCAACATTTTGTGGAACTCGCCTGTTCCAGCTGGTCAATTTTAGTTAGTACAGAAACCTCGTCAAGTGAAATGCAACAAAAATGCTATTGGTTATTAACTCAGGGAGTAGAAAATGTAGGATTTTGCTTCAGGCACTTACTCCTGTGATCATTTTTCTATTTTTTGTCATGCACTGTCAGTCAATAACACTGTGGTCATGATCAGAGGTGAGTGGGACACGGGCTGTAAGGTACTTGTGTCTTGTCAGGAATTAACCAAAAACAAGGGCTCACCCCTCAGCTAGCACAGACTCTGGGGACTGGTGTCCAGTTTAAAGCATGCCAGCCTTCCATCTGCTTTAACCTTAGAGCTCTGGAGTAAAACTATTACTGTATGAACTCTGAAAGATTTAGTGAGTATATATTTATAACTGACATCTCTACCTTAAGAAATTTTAAAAGAGTATATATAACATTTTGTTATCTTTGGGAAGATTTGTGCTCTTAACAAAATAGAATCTAAGTATCTTGTACCACCATGTGCCAGGGCTGGAGCAGCCACCAAGGCATCGCCCTCTCAGCAGCACCACAGGCTGCTCCAGCCGCTTCTCAGCACACCCAGGAAGCAAATGAGAAGAGGGAGCTATAGTCCTATAACCATTCCTGTCACCACAGTCCTACAGCCATCCCGTACCTCTCATCCCCCTGATAATTCCACCTCTTTATATAGGTTCATGAACATAAAGGCAAATGCTTAACTCTCTCATAGCATGTTGGTATTTCTTCCCTTCTATCACACTCTATTAAGCTGGGAAAGTGCAGCTGGAAATTACTTTCTAAGAACTTTAAATACAGACTGCCTGCTGAATCACATTCTTGAACAAAAATATTGTATATCAAGGCAGAATATAATAAGACCAAGTGACATTTATCACCTACTTCAAAGGGTTAGAACTTTGTATTTTTTAATAAAACAAATATTTTTGTGACAATAATTCTAAATTTTCTTGATTTACTAAACCTGAACAACTTTTATAATCTACTGGTTGAGGTGCTGCTTGAAAATGCATTTTTTTAAAGCAATGTTTCCCAGATAGTTATGTAAGAGGAGTTTCATAGACAGACAAATCCAATATGCAGGTAGTACATTAGGCAGAAAAACAGTACTTTGAGCAACACGGTTAGCTTTCCTTAATCTACGTGACTCACCAACACAGATTCTTCCTATTATGTGATCTCATTTTTTAACCTCAAATATTCTTTGTGATAATACAGAATCAAGATTAGAAATCGAAACTTTCTGTAAGCATTAAACTGTTTTAGAACAGAGATAACTATGAAGCTAGCACCTTTATGAGCTCCCCAAAAATTGTATTACGTTCTTTATATAGACTGAATTGATTCTGAGCTTTTGCTGGGAATTAGAGAATCAGCAGAAGGCTACTGAGAACAATCAGGTGCACTAACAAAGAGGAAAACAGAAGACAGTAATAAACCAATGTGATTAAGCTGCATGACATTAGAGGCTACTTGAGTCAAGAGAGAAACCCTTCTGTGCTCTGAGAACCAACCTCAGCGACACTAATAAAGAGAGGAAAAAGGGAAATTAGAACATCTGAAGTGGGTTCCCCAGGAGTGAACATGTAAGATCTGCAGACATGTAACTCCCCTCAAAAGCAAGAATCCAAAGGCAAATTAAGAGGTGTTCCATGGGAGATTGGGAAGGGTGGGGAGAGGGTATTAATGGAAAATAACCCATCCTTGAAATTTTAAATAAAATCATAGAATGATAAAATCATAGATCTTTGTTTCTTTGTTTGAGGAAGGTTTGAGACTTATTTTTCTTGCATTGGTCATTTGTTTTACTTAGTTCAGCAGTCTTAGTTGCAGATAATGTTGGTGATATCTGTACCCTAAGAAGACATTGCTATTTTTCCACAGTGAAGAAAAAATACAATTTTTGAAGAAATTACTAATTTAAATTTTAAAAAAATCAACAGGTCTAAATGATACCCAAGAGCTCTGCTGGGATTTAAGTATGCAGAAGATGAGAGGCTATATGGTTTATCAAGAACTATTATAGAAGACTCATGCATGCAATGGTAAAAGATGTTCATGATACTGAACCTAAGCTGCTATTGGCAATATTTGTTTCTGTTATCTTGCATGGTCTTAATGGAAATGTTAGTTACAGCAGTACCTACTGAACAGGAAGGACATCCTGTTTGCCTCACCTGTATCTGAACCAACAACCCAGGATGCTGCTGAGCCAGAATATGTCAATTGGTTTGTTTTTGTCAATGCAGCTAATTTAAAAACAAAGCCCTGAGAAGAGAGCCTGAGTTCCCAATACCTCAGCAGAAGACCAAAGCCCCCCCTTTGGTGAAAGCAACCTAGGGTTTTACATTATATCTCTAGTCCTTAGGTGGAATAAGCAAACACCCCACCTTAAAGAACAGTAGTCTGCTGCTTACAGACACTTAAATTTGCCGTACAATTTATGCACATAGAGCAAGTAGGGAATAGGAAGAGCAGGCAAATTTCTG